CAGCAGGAACCTTTTTCAAACATAATGTAACAAATTCCTTCATAGGACGGGAAAAATGATCATCTAACTGCAGAAAGAGATGGAAAGTTAAAAAAAAAACAACTTATGGAAGATAACTTCATAATCGAGAGACATGGCAGCATTAGGTAACCACCAAAGCGAAATACTCCAATATCTATTGGGCTTTTATAATGTATAAAATTATACACTGAACGATATATGAACCTGAGGAGGACTTTCCCGGGGAATTATAAACAGCACTCTCATAGGATGAAGGTCAGCTAGTGGTGGTTCTCCCTTTGCCATCTCAATCACTGTTATTCCCATTGACCAAATATCTGCCTACGAAAGATAAACAATACAGTGATGAAACGGATGTAACAAGAGATGAAAGTTTTAGCAAACAAGTACATTTTGGACAAACAAAGAATGCAAGGTAAACTAGAAGGATCAATCATATAATGACGGATACCTTCTCATTATAGCCTTCTGAGTTCTGAATCACCTCTGGTGCCATCCAAAATGGTGTTCCTACAAAAGTCTGCCATTGTAATAACATTAGTACATGCAACCCAAGCAGTTGAACAACAACAACACCATTCTAGGAGAATTGGAGATGTTGTCTAAATTGACAAGAGATATCTTTTAACTATCATCCAGCTTTCCGAAGATCCCTTGCATCATAATTTTCGAGAATGATTTATAAAGACATGCATGGAGTACTATCAATTGAGGGCTACGTACAAGAAGACTGAAATTGTTGATTGGCAGAACTAAAATTATAGTCATACATTCAAGTATTGATTGAAATAGTGGAGCCTATTTAATACATGTCACCGTGATTTATTTAATGGAGAAGTAATGAACTTGCTTGAGACAGTTTAACTTAATAAGAACCAATTGACCTGACTATGCAAACAGCAGAATGTAAACAAAAAAGAACAACAGGCAAAGAAAGAATTAAAATAAAACAGACAAAGAACAACAGAATAAGCACCTTCCTCCTTGATATTGTCCGTGTCAATTGTGCAGAAACACCAAAGTCCGCAACCTGTTAAGGTGAAAGAAAAGGAAGCAGGAAATCAGAGGCTCAGAGCTGATGCAATTATAAGAAATCTGAGTACATTCATTTCTCAGGTATACAAAAAATTCAAATCTCAGTGTCTGAGCAAGTGTAGAATACCTTCACATCACCATTCTCGGTCAGCAATATATTAGCAGCTGCAATAATAAGAACAAAAGATTGTCATGCAACAAGTAATATAAGCACAATCGAATCACAGACAAAACTATAAGATGTTTAAAATTTTACTAGCATAGAAAACCTTTGATATCTCTGTGAATCTTTCCCTCGTTATGCAGATATTCAACAGCATGAAGCAGATCTCGTGCAATACAAGCGATTGATGTTTCATCCAATGGTGTACCTGATTGTAGCTGCAGAAGAGATATAGTTCCACTGAGATGTGTGCATCACTGCACAAACACAATTATATTTCCAAAGCTTTTGACAACAAAGAAATGAAATGACATACAAGGTCAGCAACAGAACCACCGGCCATATATTCCATGATGATCCATAACTTGGTCTGATGAAGGTATGAACCATAATATTCAGTAATATATGGACAGCGGCATTGTGACAAAACAGAAATTTCCTGGGAATCAACAATAAAAAAAATGAGTTGGATAGTAATAAGGGGAGTAGCAAATATCAACCATATACGATAAGGTTAGCTCAAGAAATACCTTCTGGATATCTTCAATCTCGTCCTCTCTGAAAATTAGAGATAGAAGGGCAACTAAGAAAAGTATGTTGGACAAGGTAGTTTTGTAGAAACAAACATATTACAGATGATAGATAAAGGGAATCGTGAATCTGTAACATTCATGGTTACAAGAGGCAAATGTATGACTTTATGAGAAAGCATAATATCTTTACAAGGAAACTTGATTGGAGACCCATGTATCGAAAAGGAGGAAAAAGAACTAAGAAAAAATATCAAATACTTACGATTCTTCAAGATCAATAACTTTAATGGCGACCTCTTTGTTGAGCCCCTTATCGAACCTGATAATCAGAGGCAACTCCTCAGCATCCAAATCTAATACCCATGGTTCTAGCCAGTCGTTACTCCGAAAGATTCTAGATTATTAGCAGTCAATTCAAATATCAAAATCGTATAACAGTTAATCCAAAAGTTTTCACTCTTTAGATGTCAACAATCAACAAACACCTGTGTCCAAGTTCGCTCTAACAACAGTTATCTGATAATAAGTTCATGTAGCTTACTGCTGCTCGCAATCTAGCATTTTCATACTATAGATGTTGATATTTAAAAAAACCGTATCTATATCACCAGGTGCTAGCTGAAGTTTCAAATCTTAATGTGTCATATCGCATTCTGACAGTGCAATAAAATCATATTGTATCAACATGGAACAGAATAACACTTGTAGTAATAATCAAAGTGTCGTGGCATTGTCCTGTCCCCTTTTCTGGTATACACCATTGTTTATTACTTTATTTCTAGACTTTGTACTCAGATGAGGTTAGATCTACTGCTACTCTGTTCCTGCCAAGAAAATGAACCACCAAGGCAAGGATATCCGCATGAAACGAAGAGTTACATGATTATGATTTCCACTTCCAAAAACTTGACTTTTCAGGGCAAATGCATTTTAACGTGTAAGATCGATCAAAGTTCCTTTGTACGCATTTCGATTTAGACTCTTCCCTGTGATGGCAATTAGTATAATTTACCGATATCATCAACCCAAAGAGCTACATAAGGACTCTTGCACATAATCTACTGTATCACGGGATTTGAATAACATAAATCTGAAAAATCCAAAGAAGCCAAATCGCATTAACTCAATACTTACGCTTTATACACATCGCCAAATGACCCTCGTCCGATCAACTCGAACTGGCTAAATCTGGCTCCAGCTGCCTCTTGTAAACCCGCAACATCATCCATTTCCACATACAACAAAAACCTACTCTCCCGCTCTGCAAATCCCTGGTAATGAAAATAAATTCACCGAGAACACGGTATCAGAACAGAAATCTCACCCTGAAACCCCAAATTTAAACTATTCTTCAACCTCCGATTCAATTTCCCAAAGTGGGTCAACCCCAAAAACCCTTACCCAATAATAAGAACTTCTGAACGTAGCCCATATCATAAGCCGAAGAAAGAACAGCGCAAGCTAAGATCTATAAATCCAAATGAAATCCGATAAAAAGCTACAATGCAGGTAAACCTTTTACTCAAAGCAAGCAAATAAAATAGGGAAAAACTTTTACGTATCGGAGACTTCTCACAAAAACAGCATTAATCCTCCCGTTAGGTGGAATCGAAGAAGAAGTGACAACTGAACAATAAAATTTTCCACTACCCAATAAATCATCCACTATAGGACAGCGAAACAACAACGTACACGTGAATTGAAACATCATCACCATCGTGGATTTTTCTCCAATTCGATCAACCAGACAAAAAAAAGAAAGTATTTAAGAATTTACTTTGATTGCGAGGTGAAATCCGAGAAATGCCGGGATTGATTCCAGTTACCTGGTAAAAAACGACGAAGACGACGAACAAATTACACAGATCTTTAAATCCTTCTCCTCTGTTCCCTGACACCTTTTCCCGAGAGAATTCTCTCTCTAATTGGTCTCCCTCGAGATCGAGCGGAACTATCCTCTGATGAAGTTTCCTCGATTTGATTCTTCAATTTCCATTTTCTTTATTTATTATTTTCAATTAAAAAAATATGGAAATCATTCCGAAGGATCCGACCCGGGTTAGGCCCAATCATTAATCGGGTCAATAAGCCCATTGGTTTTAAGAGTCCAGGTCTATGCTTAAGAAAGGCCTAACAGGTTACAGAACTTGTAGGTCACAAACAAGACGGAATATCCCAAAATAATACCTGAACTTCTCAATTTTCACAAAATAAAATCTAAACTTTGTTTTCTATCAAATAAAACATCAACTTCATTTTTCAGTCAAAAATAAATCTGAACTTTATAACCTTTGTCATTTTTAACCCTATTACTGACGTGGCAAGTCAATACTTTGACCGTATTTGACATATCATCGTTCACGTGTCATAATATCGGAACGTCACGTCAGCAATAGGGTTAAAAATGACAAATATTATAAAGTTCAGGTTTATTTTTGACTGAAAAATGAAGTTGAGGTTTTATTTGATAAAAAACAAAGTTTAGGTTTTATTCTGTGAAAATTGAGAAGTTCAGGTATTATTTTGGGATTTTTCCTAAAATTAAATAATAGGGTAAAATCTCAGAAAAACTTCGAACTTACTAAAATATAGAAAAATAAACTCTGAACTTGAAAAGCTGTCATTTAATACCCAGACTTGCAACTTGTAACTGGAAAAAACCTCGAACATGTAATTTGGTAGTCTAAAAAACCGTTGGCCATTTTGACCAAATTTTCAGACGATCGGAAGTTCATGTATTGTCGGATTATTGATGTCATCATATATACGTCAGCGAGTTTAACTAAAAAGTTGACACGTCAACATTTTTTTAAAAACGAAAATCGGTCTTAACCCGGTTTACTTACTTCTACGCTTCTCCTTCCCACTGCTTCCCCTCTCTATTTCAAAGTTTAGGGTTTCGAATAGTTTTCATCAATGGTTGAATCCTAAACTCAACCAGAGTTTCGCATTCTCGTATCCAGAGCTTCGACAACACCTTCGAAGCTCTCAAACTCCGACGGGGGCAGAGAGGTTGGGTGTCGGGATTGATGTTGTGAACACCACTGTGTCCACGTCATCCACCGCGACCATGGCTTCCGCACAGGTAGGTCCTACCCACCGAGTCTCGTAGGCGTCAACCCTAATTGGGAGCCACCCGACGATCTCCAACTCCCAGAAAAACTGCGGAACCACCAGAGGCTCCGTGAGCTCCACCACTGACGAAACCGAGCACAGAATTCTACGGCCATGACTCGACCCGAGAGATTCGACCAAACCCATCGGCATCTCTACCCAGAGCGGCGAGGACAAAACCCTCGTCGCCGTCGTCGTCTCCGGGAGGAGGCGGTATGGGCTTCTGGAGGGCGGTGATAACGGCGGATGCGGCGGAGATAGCGATGCGAGAGGGAAATGCGACGGCGGAGAGGAGGGAGATAGACGACGGAGAGAGGTGGCGCGTGAGAGAGATGATGGCAGAGAGGATGGAGATAAACCGGGTTAAGACCGGTTTTCGTTTAAAAAAATGCTGATGTGTCAACTTTTTAGTTAAACTCGTTGACGTGTATATGATGACATCAACAATACGACAAGTGGACTTCCGATCGCCTAAAAATTTGGTCAAAGTGGTCAACAGTTTTTTAGACTACTAAATTGCATATTCGAGGTTTTTTTCATTTACAAGTTCAAGTGTGGGTATTAAATGATACATTTTCAAGTTTAGGGTTTATTTTTCTATATTTTAGCAAGTTCGAGGTTTTTTCGGGATTTTACCCTAAATAATATTCTATAACACATTTTTTTTTGGTTTAATGTTAATTCTATGATAGAATTTTAGTAAAACGTATAAACTTCGCCTACTATAAATCGATGTGATCATTAATTACTTTTTATAGTAGACGAATTTTAATGACGCGCTGAAATTGGAAAGGATAATGGTACGTAAAAATGCATTACTGATTTTTCTAAAATTAATCGTAAAAAAATTACCGTTTCGTGAAATAGCAATATGTAACCGTTGTTTTTTTATTTTCTTAAAATGGGCCCCACATAAACACAAATGGGCCCCACATAAACACACAAAATTTACCATTTAGTGAAATAAAAATACGTAACATTAACACCGTAAAAAAAATAATTTCTTAAAGTGGGTCCAACAAAACAGGTCTTTTCCTTTTATCGTAACTTCTCTAGTGAAATTGTCATTTCTAATAGATATAAACGGATACACACAATTTACCCCACCTTATACTTAAAAATGGATATAAAGTTAGATCTTTGGACCCACCCAACAATATCAAACCATATGGTAATGAAAGCATTTATAATTTTATTACTTAATTTTGCATTAAATCCGATGGAACATTACCATCCAAAAAGCCAATGAAACACACACAAAAGGAAAACAAACACTTGCAAAAAAAAAACCCTAATCAGAAATTTTTATTCTTCCTCTGCATGTCCGTGTCATCATTCACCACTCTCGCAGGCTCCATTGCATGACATTCCCGACAAGCCAAAACCACCGCCCTCAATATTCTCCTCCACCACCTCATCACCCTACTTCCCCTTCCCCTCCTCTCCTCCCCCTTCTTCCTCCGCCTCGCAGCCACCACCGTCACCGGTCTCCGGCCACCGCCGCCGACCCTAATCCCACCGGCTCCCCCTCTCTTCACCGACCCTTCCCTCTTGAACGCCGCACCAGGCACCGGCGTTATATACTGCCACCGTTGTGAGTACGATCCACACAGCTGCGCCGTCACTAACTCCGTCGCCTTATTCCTCCTCTTGCATGGCTGCCCCGTCGTCATCGTCGGATTAACGCTCTTGTTCGTGGTATTTACGGTTTTGCCACTGCGCGTCACCGGCATTAGGTCTAGTTGTCGTGGCTTGTGCTTGTTCGGGCTCATGACCATGTTGCTGTTCGTGCTGCTGCAACTGCTTGTCCTTGGTGTGTAAGAATGTGGGCTGCAACAGCTGCTTCGGCTGTTCGAGCTGTTGCTCCCTGATGAGGCCTCGCTTGTCGTACGCGAGATCGTACGGGCCGATCTTGATGTCGGAAAAGAGTGTGGCAAGAGACGGCCGTTGAAAAAGAAGTGATCCGCCGGGGAATTACCGGAGAACGGATCTTGCGACGGAGAAGACGGGGTCAAAGATCCGAATTCGAAATCCAGGTCGTCGTCGGGTTTATTCTTTTCGCCGGAGTTCTGGATTTTCGGGTGATCCTCCATTCTGGGTGTGTTGGATTATGGATGTGTTGTATATATGTGTATATATAGGGAGGGGGTTGGAGGGGACACGTGGCCAAATGGGTACGGAAGTGGTGTGAATCATGAGGAAGTCAAAGACTTTTGCCAGCTCAGGGTTTGAATACTTGCGAGATCGAAGTGGATGGTGTTTGTGTAATGATATTGTCGATGCGATTTGAGTTGGGGGGATCCCAAATGATGCTATATTTTAACACGAGACATTATCTATTGCTGAATATCTAGCGGGTCCTTTCATAAATTTTATATTCGATATTTCTGCGTTTTATTGATAAATCGTTAGTGAAATTGGCTTAAATGATGTTTTTCTTGAGTACAATCTAAGAAATCTTTAATTAATCAACCCCTATTATTTATTTATTTTTAATTTTAATTTATGTGTACTCTACTTTGGCTCACATGCTATTTGAGCTAAGGATTCTCCTAAGGGACGGTCTCCCAAAAATACTTATTTCGCATAAAGCAATAATGGCTTTATCAAAGCTAACTAGTAAATATTTAATTTATTAAAGGAGAAGGATAAAAAAAATAAAAGAAAGAGAATATAAACATAACAATATGAAAAAGATGCATTACACATTCCATCTAATGCATAAGGATGCAATGTTATATATATATATATATATATATATA